CCCACACAGATACACAAAGTATAAAGCACTGTTTGAGTAGTAGTTTTACTGTTAATTCGTATAGTACAACACATTAAGGACAGAGATCCTACATGGGGAACAAGTGCACAGTGACTCCCGTTTTTGATTTAACAATTGACACTCTTACTTATGACGTCAGTAATCACCCAAGGCTCTTGTCACAAGTTGCCAAGGCTATGGAAGCCTCTTGAGTTCACAAACTCTGACCTTATTTAGACAAGGCCATAATCAAAGTGAAAGTTCTCTCCTCCCTTCGAAGAAAGGTACTTCCTTCTTTGATGGTCCATTCTTTCCATAGGGATCTCACTCACAGAGATCTTTCATTTAGGTCATTTTTTTTCCCACAGTGTCTTGGCTTTTCATGCCTGAGAAACTCTCATGGGCTTTTTAACAGGATCCGAATGCCTTAAGGGCTGATTCTGAGGCCAGAGTGCTGTTTAGGGCATCTGCCATTCTGAGTCTGCTGTGTATCCTGCTTCCCATGTTGGATCATTCTCTCCTTTTTAATTCTATCAGTTATTATTAGCAGACACTAGGCTTGTTTATGTGATCCCTTTGACACTTAATCCTATCATTATGATCAATTATGAACTGATCACTTTGATTAGTAAGATGGCATTGGTACATGCCACCTTGATGGAGTTGATTTGGAATCCCCTGGCACATCTCTAGCTCTACCATTCTGAGTGAGCATTGTGCACGTTTTTCATTGTGCCAAAGAGAAAATCTGGATTGCACATTATTTGCAACTAAATTTCATTTTAGTCTCATCCCAGGTGCTGCCTTAATTAAATGGACTTTTACCAGTGCTCAAATGCCTGGTGACAGACAAGATAATGCCCTCTCACCCTCACAGATAGGTACACTCTCATCCCTGAAACTAACTAGGTTATACAGCAAAGGGGAACTAAGGCTGCAAATGGAATTAAGGCAATTCATCATCTGATTTTAAAATAGGAAGATTATTCTGGATTACCCCAGCAGGCCCAAGGGAATCACAAGTGTCCTTTAAGGTGGAAGGAGGCAGGGTTCGAGGCTGGAGTGAGGAGGTATGACAAGGACTCAGCCTGCTGGGACCAGCCTGGAAGAGGCAGGAAGGACCTAGGAGTCAGGGACCATTGGAGGCTTCTGGAAACTGGGAAGGGTGAGGAGACAGACTTTCCCTGGGAGCCTCCAGCCAGGAGGACAGCCCTGAAGACACCTTCAGTTTAGCTCAGTGAGATCAGTGTCAACTTAGGACCTTTAGAACAGGAAAAATTCATTGATGTGCACCACTGTAGACTACAAATTTGTGGTCATTTGAGCCCACCAACAGCAAACTAATACCTTCCATCTCTGGAGACCCGCAGGCATCCTCGTCTCCTTGGACTCTGCCTCCCTGCTTCGCTGCCCATTTCCCTGTTTTTTTTTGTTTTGTTTTGTTTTACTTTTCATTTTTTATTTGAAAGGCAGAGAGATCTCCCATCTGCCAGTTCACTCCCACAAATGCCAGCAACAGCAAGGGCTGGGCTGGGCTGAGGCCAGAAGCCTGGAATTCAATCCAAATCTCCTGTTTGATTATCAGGGACCCAAGCACTTGAGCCATCATTTGCTGCCTCCAAGAGTACATATTAGCAGGAAGCTGGAATTAGAAGCAGACCTGGACTCTGGCCTCAGAATCAGCCCTTAAGGCATTCAGATCTGGCTGAAAAGCCCATGAGAGTATTTTAGGCATGGAAAGCCAAGACACTGTGGCAAAACAAACAAACAAAAACAAAAAACAAAACATATATGAAAAATCTCTGCAAGTGAGATCCCAGTAGAAAGAACGGGCCATCAAAGAAGGAGGTACCTTTCTCTGAAGGGAGGAGAGAACTTCCACTTTGACTATGACCTTGTCTAAACAAGATCAGAGTCAGTGAACTCAAAAGGCCTCCATAGCCTTGGCAACTCATGACAAGAGCCTAGGGTGATTACTGATGCCATAAACAAGAGTGTCAATTTGTTAAGTCAACAACAGGAGTCACTATGCACTTACTCCTCATGTAGGATCTCTGTCCTTAATGTGCTGTACATTGTGATTTAATGTTATAACTAGTACTCAAAGAGTATTTACACTTTGTGTTTCTGTGTGGGTGCAAACTGTTGAAATCTTTACTTAATATATGCTAAATTGATCTTCTGTATATAAAGATAATTGAAAATGAATCTTTATGTGAATGGGAGTGGAGAGGGAGCGGGAGAGGGGAGGGTTGCAGGTGGGAGGGAAGTTATTGGAGGGGGAGCCATTGTAATCCATAAACTGTACTTTGGAAATTTATATTCATTAAATAAAAGTTAAAAAAAATAAAAGAAGCAGAGCTGGGACTTGAACGCAGTTGCATCTGTTTTGTCTTTTGTGCACCTGTTTTGTCTTTTGCTTTAAATCAACAGACGTTTCTGAGTACCTACTCTGTGCCAGGCACTGTACTAGATCCTGAAATGCAAGATGAATAAGATATAAGATTTCTGAAGAGGCAATCAACACAAACAAAATATTATAATTTGGTTCAATAAATACATGATATAGGAGAAAAAATGAGGAGCCATCAAACGCATTTTGATGAATTCAAGAAAACTTCCAGGAGCGGAAATGGAGCTAGGATGAAGAGCAGTTTGCTAAACAGACAAGATGGGAAGAGATGTTCAAGAACTTTGGAGCAGTGTGACACTGGAAACATGGCTAGTGAAAACGAGGAGCAGGACTTTAAATTTTAAATTTTACTGTATTTTTATTATCATTCACTGAAATGGAAGTAACCACACATGGCTCTTGGTTATCTCATGAGACAGAGTTGATTACACCTCAGTGCACCCATAAGAGGAAGGAGAGTCTCTTCCTTGTCCTCTTTCCTACCTCTCACTGTGGGACCAGTTCACCTTGGACCACGCAGAAGGGGCATTCATTGCCCCAGGACAGAAGTATGAACATGCAAAGAACTTGGGTCCCTGAAACCCTAGAGCCATCTTTCAGTCTGGCTTATGCTCAGACTATCACATTGCAGGTGTGTGCATCCCCATATTGTTTAAGTTGTTGTTATTTGAGATCTCTGTGTGCCAGCCAAATCCGTCTCCTAATACAAATGTCTCCCAGGAGAATGAAAAGCAGGAACCATAATCTTTGCTAAGATCACTTTGAGTTCCCTCTTATGTGGCAGATGCTGTGCTGTACATATGGTTGCCTTTAACATCCATGACCCCTGCTAAGATAACAGTAGGATGAGTGTACACCCATTCTGCAAATATAATGAAGGCTCAGAGAGGCTGGCTCAAAGGAGACAGGACTACACTGCTCTGGTAGGAAATAGTCTAATGCATGCATGCACATATTTTACTATTACAGGCCAGGCAAGTGGAGTGCACAGTGTTAACATGCAGAGATATTTGTCACAGACGGTCCCAGATGCTTACCAGCAGCCATTCCCCACTTCTTCCCGTAAAAAGAACCCCAATATTTCAACAGAGTGGGCAGAAACTCTTTGACTTCAGGAAAGGTAGGTTCCTGTTGCAGAACTCATGAGCGAAATCCTAACCCGTCTATGCCACGCTTGACAGTTTCACTCCCCTTTGTCAGTGACTGGCCTAACAGGAAGTATGTGCCACAGCTCTGGTCAAAGGACGGACGCAGAAATCTGATGGGAAACAAAAAGCCAAAAACCTGCCCAGAATGAAGACGCACCTCTGGAAGTGTGGCATCCATTATGCAACCATGAAGACAAAAGCTGGTGTCTAAGAACAGAGAGTGGAGAGAGCAGTGGGCTCTTGGTGACGTCACTGAGTGCCTGCAGTTTGCCTGGACAAGCGACCTTCAACTTCCTGTACTATGAGAAAACCAAACCCCAGTTTCCTTAGGGCCACTCTAAATCATGTGTCGGTATTTCACAGCCGGAGACACCTTCCTAACTGATACACAAACTTCTACACCTATTTTTGTGTTTTCCTTAGAAGGCTAGGGAAAGTGCCACAGCTTGCAGTGGCAGCTGGTACGCTCTTGGTTGACTGCTGCAAAACCCAGTTCCCACAGGCTCAGCCACCAGACTCACTCTGGTCTCCCTCAAAACACACACTTTGGGGATGTAACAAACAATCTTAACAGCTAACAGAGCTCAAATGCAATGCATTCTGGTTTTTCCCCCTATCTTCAAATGAAAAGACTTTTCTCCCTCAATGAAAAATATTTATGGAGGAATGGACATGTGTGAAAAGCGCTCACATCCGATTGTGTTACACTGTTAATATTCTGAAATTTTAGAAGAAACATTTTAGCAAATGCTGTTAGCCTGTGAAGCTTAAGAAGGAAACAGAAATATGAAATGCTAATGCACAAATAGGATTCATTAATTCATTCACACCAAAAGATGAATGAAGGATTGAGGCACACAGCAGGATGGCCAGGGCTTAAAATGGATAAAAATACACAGAAAATACACAGAATTGGTTAAGCAAGCAGCAGTGGTGTTTTGCTCTTGAATTGTACTGAAAGCTGACTTAGTTCTCAGGGCACATAAAAACAATAAATGATATTTATGCCATGAGGCAGAATTATAAAAAAAAGTAAAATATTTTTGAATGTTAGATATTTTCATTTGTAGAGAAGAGCAAATATTTTTCTATACATAGGCATATGTATGCCACCATCTTAATCCTGTAGTTAATCTTTAATCTGATTTGTAACTGAAAAGCTCATGTGGCAGCTGATTTTACATTTTCATTCATAAAAAGGGAGGCTTATCCACCAAATGAGCACATTTTTCCTGGAATTTCACAATAAAGGAGCTAAACATATTTTTCTTCTCAAATACCAAGCTGTCTAAAATGTTTCCAGTGATCAGAACGCTACGAAATAGCAAGTGCAGTGATATGCGGGCACGTTCAGCATTATTTTCCAATATTGACAAATACACGCCAAAAGTTTTTCTTTTAAGATCTGAGTAAAGAAGACAGTGGGACAGGAAGCATACCTTAGAGATGATCAATGGTTCTCCGTGCTCCAGGCCACCTTTCAGAGTGAACCCCCAGGGAGCCCCTCCCTCCAGGAAGGCTTCCAGGTAGATGTACCTTCCCTGGGGGGCCGGGGCCGGGCCCAGCGCGGCCCTGGGCTCCTCGCAGTTCGCCGTGGTCCTCATCTCGCCAAAAACATGATCCCGCAAGTGAAAAAGTGTCTGACGCAGACCCAGGCAGGCACAAGTTAGCCCACGCTCCACGCCGCACGCAGGCCAGCCGAGAGGTCTGGAGACACGGATTCTTCCAGATGGAACATGTTCTCCCCAGCTGGACCCGGCAGGATTTCTCACTTGCGCTTTTCCGAGTGTAAATCCTCCTGCGGGAATTCCGGGTTCTCACCGCAGCCCCCAGCGGTCAGTGTCTCCCGGCTCCGTTTGTAAAAGCTTCCTTCGCGGTCACTTTGAAGATGGCTTTGATTTCACAAACACACACATAAAAAATGTTTCAGTGTATCTTTCGGAGAAAAGGAAAAGCATCTTGCGATCTAGTGAGAAAATTGCAAAAATGCCAAGGCATACTTCGTTTTTTGATTGATGACCAACCTTTCTTCCACTCCTAGTGAAATTTACCATGACAATAGCCTGCTGGCTCCCCCGACCGGGCTTTCACAGCAAGCCAGCACTTACTTGTGCTTCAGCCGGCCCTAGAATTCCCTAACTTGTCCCAAAGAGACAGACGCTGTGCTGTGCTAAAACTTGGTGCAGTCACTGGGTACTCCTTTTTTTTTCCCCAACCCTAAATTCACAGTTTGTTTCTTGGTGGGAGAAGGTGCAGGATGTAGAGAAATTGAAAAAAAAAAAAAAAAAAAAAAGGCACGGTAAATTAATCCTCAATGGGAAAAAAAGTATCAAGACGCCAGCTCAGGACTTTTCTTTGGTATTTTCGGGGAAGATCAGCCTTCAATGCCACCGCAGCCACTGGCCCGAGAGAGAGAGAGAGAGAGAGAGAGAGAGAGAGAGAGAGAGAGAGAGAGAGAGGAGAGGAAAGTGGATTAAAGCGGAGAAAGGCAATGCAACCTTCCTGTACAGTAAATCCTGCTAGAAAGAATTCAGCTCACCACAACAACCTGACAATCAGCACAGTCATACAGCTGAAGAAAAGCACAGAACTTGCTGATTAGCAAGGGCCAGAGACTAGTTGCTAGAATAGCCCGCCTGTACCAATTAAAGGAGAGCTGCAGGGAAGGAGAGGCAGGCATCGGTATTTTAAAAACCCTCGAGGCAGTTCTGCCACAGCTGAGTTTGAGAAGCAGTGCCCAAGCAGGTTGGGCAAATGTGGGAGTGTCAAGGTATTGGCACAGGGCTCTGTGTTCCTCAGTGCAAGGAAAGATCAAGCATACTATGTGTGTATGCCAGCCACTCAGCTTGCAGGAGGACTCGCCAATCACATTTCTGCTTGTTTGACTCAATACAAACGCAAGGCAGCCTTTCTCCTCTCTGTATTTGCCTTCTTTCCTACTGCAAGAGTGTGATCCAGTCTTTAAGTGAAAAGAAACACCGCCCTCTAAGGAGTAGGCTCTCAGGGCTGAATGTTCTCATGGCAGGTGATCCATGTCATGTTGTGACAATAGTGTACAAAATGTAACATTACTACTTATTATTAAAATTTTCAGCAGTACAAGGTTACTGTAGCTTTTATGCAGAAGCCTCAGCTATAAAGTTATTGGGACAAATTAGAATTACTCCCAAAAAGTGTTATCAAAACATTTCCTGTTTATTTATTTATTTGAAAGTCTGAGTTATGGGGTGGGGGGGAATCAATCTTCCATTTGCTGGTTCATGCCCCAAATGGCTGCAACAGCTGGGGCTAGGCCAGGCTGAAGACAGGAGCCATGTGGGTGCAGGAGCCCAAGCACCTGGTCCATCTTCTGCTGCTTTCCCAGGCACATTTCCCACCCACGGAGTTTGAAAAGCCAGAGTTGAGAAAAACCCAATGCAAACCAGCCCAGCCCCGCCTGATGCCTGCACACTCAAGCCCCCTTCTATAAGAGACCAGGCTGTCTTCCGTGTGCTCCCCAGGAGTGAGCCCCTCTCAGGTTTGCCTCTGAATAAACCTGTTCTGGCTGAGTTCGTGGCCTGTCTCTTGTTTGTCTTGCTCTTCTACTCTTACACTCCCAGTGTCTCACCTCGTGATACCCTGTGCCACCCTGGGACTCCACTAGCAAGGTCATCATCAGATGTGGCCCCTCAACCTTGGACTAAAACTGTGAGCAAAACGCAACCTCTTTTCTCTATAGTGTACCCCCTCTTTACAACTGTGTCAGAAACAACAGAGAAAGGGCTGAGACACAGGCTTTCCGATGGAGGATTATTTTGCTTGCTTCGCATCCTCAAATGAGTTTCCCCTTCTTGGCCTATCTGTGCTGGGGCATAGAGATGCAGCTGTGGGGTCAGCACAGTGGTTAAGTTGCCATCTGGCACACCTGCATCCCCTATCAGTTTCGTGTTTGAAGCCTGGCTCCACTTCTGACTTCAGCTTCCTGCTAATGTGCACTCTGAGAGGTAGCAGGTGATGGCTCCGGTACTTGGGTTCCTGCTACTCATGTGGGAGACCTAGATGGAGTCCTGGCTTCAGCCTGGTCCAACCCCAGCTGTGGCAGGCATTTGGGGGAGAGACTCAGCAGATGGATGACTTCTCTGTCTCTCAAAAATTACAAGATAAAATTTTTTTTTACTTAAAAAAAAAAAAAAAACCTCTAGGTGTCAATAGCCTCTTGCCTCAAGCAACTGATATATAAATAGGCCTATGACTCAAGTGTAGCCAATTTTATAACCAAAATATCATAAAGGGGCTGTCTTCTCTGTGCCTTGCCAGGTTGGTAGGTGAGAACCTGGAGTGGCTGGAGATCATCTCTGCTGTCACATACCTGGGAAGGTATCCTTTGAAGTCTTGAAATTAGGAAGAACTCCAAAGAAATCGAGTGTATGTGTGTTATACAAGGGTACTTAAAAACATTTGTGGGAAATGGGATTAAAAGATAAGTTTATTTTGGTGGAAACATTTTTTAACATCTATGCTTAGTTTTTTGATAATATGCACGTCCATGAAGTTTTTGAGGATCCTCTGTATGAATGGATTTTAAAATGTCTTTGATCAAAATAAACTTTTAATTCCTTTTTCCACAAACTTTTTCTAGAATTCTCGTTTATTATGTTAGAAAATTAAAGAACACTTAAAATGTTTTATTAATTCCTTTAAAATTAACAATGAATCTATTGCATGTTAGAATAACTCATATGTTATGAAAAATAATTGTTTCCCAAACAAAAAAAATACTGGCTTTGTTTTACATATTTGGAAATCTCTATTTATAGAAGACATATCCTACTACCTGCTTCTCCATTCAATCTGTTCAACACTACATGTCATGGAGCCAATGGAAAATTCCACTTATGAGAGAACAATGGAAAAAGGCAAACATTGCCTTTATCGTTAATATTAAAATGGTTTTGACCTTGAAGACTCAAGAGTATTTCAGGGATTGTTCTCCAGACCACACTTTGAGAACTTCTGCCTTAACAGACATGGCTTCGCCTAAAGCCATCCCTTGCCTACAATTAAGCAGTCTCGTGAACCCATAAATACCTGTCTATTTTTCCCTTATACCAGCAGGCCTTGGATTTCTGCTTCTTACAACCAAGAGAGTCCTGAGCAACTCACAATAAATCCCTTCGTGGTTCTTTCTGCTGTGGGAAAGTTTAGGGAAGCTTAGCTACACCTTACAAATGATGCTTCACCTCTGTTTCCTCTCTTCCTGCTACTGTCCTCCTTCCTTCTCTATTGAAGTTAGCATTAAGTCTACTCTCTTAGTCAAATTCTTCCCCTCATGATCTTCATAGAAACAATGCAACTCACAACCCAATTCATGTCTATATGTGGCCCCAGGAAAGACAAGATTTCAATCTTGTCCTTTGTCTAGCATGCCCACATGGAAAATCCTGTTAGACATCATTTGCCCAATCCCCATTCTGACTTTTTAGAAATCACAATCATCCTATTTGTTAAAGCCACTTAAGGAAAAATGAATTTGTTCTTTTTAAGTTTCTCATTTCTTGATTTTAATTTCCATTGAATTCCCTAATGTTTTTTTCTTTGTGTTTTTTTTTTGCTCACATTTTTAAAGATGTGATCTTCACCTTAACTGGATTTTTTGGAATGCTTCTGAAATTATTAATATTTCAAAGATTGAAAAATGTCACTAGATTACCTCTGAAAATAAAGCCACAGTGCCACCTAGTGGTTTCTCTGGCTCACTAACTAATCATTAAAATAAAGACACTGTAGGCAAGGAATCATTCAATTATAGGTTGGGAGGTTATTGAGTCTTAGAATGTCTCAAACAATCACAAATAGTCAAACATCAATCTTATTTTACAGTTATTTTTTGTGCAATTTCTCTAAACAGCCTTTCGGAGGCAAAAAGAGTGTTTTCATACCTTTAAATACATTCTCTTGTGAGAGGCATGAAAGCCCAAGAATTAGCTTAAACTAATCCAGAGCTGCCTGCTAGAACTTCCCCTGAAGTTCAGAGCCCCATAGAATGTTGCGTGGAATACTGTGAGAAAGGAAGGGGGAAGAAATGGATGCTGGAAGCAATTCCCAACATCTGCTTCACCAACTGACACAAGACTTGTCACAAAACTGCCGAAGCCCAGTCCATTCAGATTGAGATTGATCAAAATGTGTCGTCTAAATTCACCAAACGGTACACTTTAAATGGATGCATTTATTGAATGGAAGTTCTACCTCAATAAAGTTAGTTTTTAATAGATTCATTTATTGAATAGAAGTTATACTGCAATAAAGTTAGTTTTTTTAAAAAATTCAAGGATTCCATGGACAGATGAATAGATAGCCAAAATTCAGCATATTCACACAATATTGTTCAGCCTTAAAAAAGAATGAAATTCTGACACATGCTATACCACAGGTGAACCTTTAGCACATTAAGTGAAATAAGCCAGACATGAAAGAATAAATATTGTATGATTCCACTATAAACGGAATGAGATACACAGAATGATGACATTCATAGAACCAGGAAGCAGAATGGTGGTTTCAGGGGATGAGAGAAAGGAACAGAGAGTAGTTAGCAGTTGCAGAGTTTCAGTTTGAGAAGATAAAAAATTTACGAAGATGGATGGTGGTGATGGTTGTACAACCATGTGAATATGTAAAACCACGGATCTGTAGACTGATGAAGAAAGATCTTCCATCTCCTGGTTCATTCCTCACATGCCTATAACAACCAAGGATGGGCCAGGCTGAAGTCAGGAGCCCATAACTCCACCTGGGTCTCCCACATGGGTGGCAGGAACCCAAGGACTTGGGCCATCATCATCTGGTTCTCAGGCGCATCAGCAGGAAGCTGGATTAGAGGCAGAGTAGCTGGAACTTGAACTGGCACTGCCATATAGGATGCAGGTGACCCAAGCTGTGACTTACCCCGATGTGTCACAAGGCCCATCCCTGTCTCTATTTTATTAACCATTTGGCTTCTAGCTCCTACTTCTGCCCTTTTAATCATCCATCTATAAGAGAATGTGTTTACCATCAAAACAAAAACAAAATCTGACTTGTATTTTTAAAGACTCCTTTCAGTATTGGGGAGAGGTTGACTGTTAAAGGACACACGGAACTTTCTGGAAGAAAAATGAGAGTGCTGGGGACTGGGGGGATACATTTGTCAAAGGTCACCCCTTCAAAAGGACACTAGAAAGCAATGCATTTTATCATAAAGGAAATGTACCTCAAATAACTTGATTTTAAAACCTTCAATCAACTCTGCAGAGTAGAAACATTTCTGCATTTGGGATGACATGAAAGTTTTCTTCCAAACCAGTTTCAAAATTAGCCCCACATTAGAAATGACTTATTTTCTTGGTTGACCCTGGCAGGAAATGTTCCTAGAAATCTGAGCAAACTTCCTATGAAGACACTCCTCAGAGGCCGTGTGCCTATGTCCTTGTCCCCTTCAAGGTTTTGTTCATTTCTCATCACCTGGAAGGGTTCTCCCTAGCCCTGCTGAAATGTCCATGCATATTCACACACTTCTCCTCTGCTTCCTGTGTCTCTACACTACTTCCCCACATTCTGATACATTAATTCTGGTATGATTAATTATTATCTGTCCCCACCTTCCCACTCCCATTAGAATATCAATTCTACAAGGGCAAGATTCTTAGAAGGAGGGGACTTTTAAAAAAAATTTATTTGAAAGGCAGAGAGAGAGAGAATATCAGTCTTCCATCCACTGGTTCACTCCCCATGCTTAAAACTGCTGGATCTGGGTCTCCCATGTCAGTGGCAGGGATCCAAGTACTTGAGTCATTACCTGTTACTTCTTAGGATGCAGATTAGCAAGAAACTAGAATTAGAAGTGGAGCTGGAACTCGAACCCAAGCACTCCTACATGGGACTCAGTCAGGTAGCCCAGACAGCAGCTTAAGCACTGAGCCTAACACCTGTCCTGAAGACAGGATGGATATTGGTCTGTTCCTAGTACACAGCCGATGCTCAAGGAATGACTTCAAGTTTCCTAATTAAATATTTATCTCTTGTGTTGCTGGTGGAGAGAATGTGACATTAACCACATAGTTTTTAATAATGTATGCCCTATGTACTAGCAAAAGTTATTGAAGACGATTTGCCATCTCATCCCTCCACAATGTGAAGGTACTTTAAAAAATTCACAAGGAAAATGGAATTAAAAGATAAGGCTGTTTTGGTGCCAAATTTTTGAAACATATGCATATGTGTCTGCAAAAAGTTCATTAAGCATGTGTTTCATGAAAAAACTATTCATGAATTTCAGTTGTTTTGCATCAAAATAAACATATCCTCTAATTCCATTTGTCCATACAATTTTTGAAGTACCCTTCTATATGTTATCACTTCTATGTGGTCTGTACTGAGCATTGCCACATAAGATGTAGAACAGGAAATGTTAAAATATAGAAAGAAAGCAAAAATATCTGCACTAAAAATCCAGGCCCCTCTGTAACTCTGGTTTACCATTGCACTTAGCTTTGAAGATCGTTGGCAACATATTTTAAAGGTCTATGTCATATTATAAGGGAACATGTTGGTTAAAATAATTTTATATAATCGACACTATATGCTAACTAAAACTGTACTTTTCTCCTATCACTTATTTACAAAACAGATTGTATTGGGTAAGCCAAGATGTTTTTTGAACTAAGGCAGTCATGAATTAAATTTTAATTGACCCTACATATGACATCATACAGTGTAAGATGTCTCGAGTACTTTTCTGGCACAAATGAAATGTTTTTGTACTGAGAAAAAGTTATTTTTATACAATCATTCTTTTTTCTTTTTCTTCTTTTCTAACATTAGGAAGGCCCCTTAGGCAGGTGTTTGGCCTAGCGGTTAAGATGCCCACGTCCCACACTGGAGTATCTGGGTTTGGTACCCAGCTCTGGCTCCTGATTCTAGCTTCTTGCTAATGAGGATGCTGGCAGTCAGGTGTGATGGCTGGGTCCCTGCCAGCCATGCGGGAGACCTGGACTGAGTTGCCAACTCCCATCTTGGGTCCAGTCCAGCCAGCCCACCCCCAGCCATTGTAGCACTTGGGGTCCTAACAGGCAGATGAGAGCTCTCTGCCTCTCAATTTTTTTAAATTATTTTAAAAGAAAAGCCTTTTGAGGTTTTTAAAAAATATTTATTCATTTGAAATGCAGAGGTAGAGAGAGGGAGACAGAGAGAGAGACAGAGAGAGAGATTTTCCATCTACTGATTCAGTCCTCAAGCTGCCAAAACGACCAGGGACTAGGCCAAGCCAAAGCTAGGAACCTAGAACTCCATCTGGGTCTCCCACGTGGGTGCAGGGGCCCAAGCTCTTGGGCCATCCTCTGCTGCTCTCTCGGGAGCATTAGCAGGGAGCTGGATTGGAAGTGGAGCAAGGGGGGCTGGAACCAGCATCAGGCAGCAGCTTAACCCGCTGCTCCACAACGCCGCCTCCTCCCACCGCATAATTTCTACAATGCCATATTTTGCAGATGCAAACACTACTATTTCTAAAACTGCTGCTCCTAAGCCAGTGCCTTATCCAGACCAGGCCTATACCTTATTCCTGAACCATGCTGAGAGTGTCTTCTTAACCATCTCTTCACAAACGCCAGCCGCCATGCAGATGGACAACCTTTAGGGAGGGCAGACCCGGAACTTCTTCGTAGCCCAACAGGGCCCAGCACAGTGTTTGGTCCAGAGTTGGAACCAGTGAAGGGGAAGTAGGAAAACATAAAATAACTCCGGACCTAGGTGAGTTCGTGGCAACAAGAGCGGGCGCAACGTGAGGCGGGCTGGTGCAGATAGGAATCTGGGAAGACCAGTCTGGGACGGTCCTGGGACAATGTAGGGAAATCAGGCCCGGTCTGCGGCAGCGCGGCCACCATCTTGACGCTCCCGGGCGGCGGGGGCGGGGCCTTGGCGCCCGATCGCCCCGGCGACGGCGTCCGGAGGGCGGAGTCGGGGGCGGTGGCCTAGCGCCCCCGCCCCGCCCTCCCCTCCGCGACCGCGCGCGGCCCCGCCCAACGGTCGCCCCCCGCGGCGCGCGCCCAGCAGGTGGCGGCCGAGCCCCACCGCCTCGAGGCCGGGCACGCGGTGGGCGCGGGGGTAGCGTCCGGCACCGCCGCTCCCGCCGCCGCCACGCAGAGCCGCCCCCGCCGCTGCGGGGCTCAGGGGCGGAGAGTGGGGAGCGGCCGGTCCCCCGCCGCCCGGTCGCACAGGTGCGGCCGGCGCGCCCGCGAAGATGCGGCCGGTGTCTTAGGATGAGGTGTTAGTTCCAGGTACGGGAGCCGAGGGCCGGGAGGGCAGCTCGCGTTCACTTCTGGAAGCTTCTAGCGCCTGTGTTTGGCGACGGTGTGTGCGCACCGGAACGGCCCGCTGTTGTTTTCGGAGGATCCGGAGACCTCGGCGACGGTGGCCGTCAGACCGGGCCTCGAAGACCGCAGGGGTGCGGGGAGCGAGCGCGGGCCGCGGCCCCGCAGGCCTGCCCTGCCCTGTGCCTGCAGGGACTGGTAAGGGGCGGGCTGCGACGGCGGAGGGGACAGCCGCCGGCCGCTCCTCAGACCCTGAAGCCTTGGCCCTCTGGTCATCACACGGGGGCCTGAGCTTCCCCCGCTCAATCAGAAGCACCATGCATTCTTGAATGTTTCCCGCCAAACTCTGCCCCAAGCCCCGCTTAGGGTGTTCTAGGCTTTGTGAGTGCACCACGCTGCACTTTCAGGGGAGAAGGAGGTCTGGGCATTGTAAGAAAAGGGGCGCAGAACGGAGAGGAGACAGGCTGGAAACTCGCAGCCAGCCCGAATTGACCCAAAGAAAATAAACCCCGCGGAGGTGGGTGACCAACTGCCAGTGTGCACACAGACTGAACACGTGGCAGAGGGCCAGACCCTAGGGGCTGGGCTTTATTTATATCTTAGGTGGGCTAGGGGTGCGGTGGGGATGGGGGGCAGTAGGCAGAAGTGAATTCCTTCCTACAGGTTCTTTAAGTTTGGCCAGTGGGCTTCTAAGCCTAAGGAGAAATGCAGGGTTTGGGCTAGGGAACAAAATAGCCTGTGAGACTGAATTAGGATTCAGGGGCCAGGGATAAATGCCGATTTTATCTTTTGGGTAATGAACGAGAAGGATGAGGCTTGTGTCCTGGTTCCATCAGTAGTTGTGTGGGGTTTTGCCTGGCAGCCACTTGTTGCTGCCTCTGTCACCAGCAGGTTCAGGAGGAAAGAACCAGCACTGCTAGTGTCCCAGAGACCAGTCAGGCAGGGCTGCTCCCTGTGCCTCAAGTCCTGGGGACCGGAATGGGCAGAGAGCTCTGGCCCTCCCGCCTGTGTCTCACCGGGAACTGTTCTTTGTTTTAAATTTATTTGACGGCAGAGTTGGAGAGAGGGAGAGACAGATCTTGCGTTGGTTGGTTCACTCCCCAAATGGTTGCCCCAGGAACTTGGAACTCTGTCTGGGTCTCCCATGGCTGGCAGGGGCCCCAGTACTCGGGCCATCTTCTGCTGCCTTCCCAGGTGCATCAGCAGGGAGCTGGATCAGAAGTGGAGGCCAGGCCTCCAACCGTGCTGATATGGGATGCTGGTGTCCCAGGCAGTGGTTCAACCTGCTGCACTACAACGCTGGCCCCCTTGTGTTTAGTCTTACTAGAGTTATCCTTCTGGGTTGTAGGTGAAATGGTTTTTATGCCATAGAGATGTATTTCCTAAATAAACTGAGCACAGTAGTATTCAGTATGTATGTAAAGCCCTTACTGTTGTCAACCTAAATAATACAGAGAGGAAGTGTCCAAAGAGTAATACTTATTTGGAATAGAATAGTGCAGTGGGAATACACATGCCGTAGTAAACTAATTGAGTGTATTCTAAGAGGTTATAGCCAGGGGAAGATTTTAAATGTCTATTTACTTTATTTTTATCAACTTAAAAGGCAGAGCAAGGGAGAGAAAGAATAAGATCTTCCATCCACTGGTTCACTCCCAATACCTGCAGTAGCCAGGGCTGGGCCAGGCCAAAGCCAGGAGCCTAGAGCTCCACCCGGGGCTCCCATGTGGTTGGCAGGGGCCCAGGAATTTAAACCATCGTCCACTGCCTCCCAGGCTGCGTGAGCAGGAAGCTGTGTTTGAGACGGAGGAGCTGGGCCTCTAGCTAGCGCTCCAGTATAGGATGTTGGTGTCAATATGGGATGTGAGTGTTGCAGGCTACAGCTTAACCAGCTGTGCCACAACACCAATCCCAAGGGGAATATTTTAAAGGTGAAATGAAGATTCCACATTTTGAAACAATAATCCCTCTCTGAGGTTGAACAGACAGTAGTTGGGCAGATGTCCTTGCAGAAGTACTGTTTGTGAGGTTACAGTGGCTTTTGTGCGAGGTTTTGGTTCTGGCAGTCTTTTATGAGTAGTTCTTGTTATCAGGCTCACCTGCACCAGATCCCCTCCTTCATGACACCCCAGCCTTATAGTCAGATACAAAGATAGGTATGTTTGACAAAAGTAACTTCATTTTGATTCTAATAACGTTCATACCCTGCCCTCTTCCCTTTTAAAAATTATGTATTTGAGTGGCAGAGAGAAAGTGAGACAGTGAGTAAGAGAACCTGCATACTGCTGGTTAACTGCCTAAATGCCCACAGTGGCCTCGGGCAGGGCCAAGGGCTAAATTAGCAACGAGCCAGGAACTTAGTCCAGGTGGGAAAACAGAACACCCAGTGGGTGCGTGCCGAAGAGGCAGATACAAGAGGCAACCTTGCTTTCTAACCACCTGCTGTCTCGTCTTGGTCACTAAGTCCATCACTGATCACTGTATTAACCTGTCATGATGCATGATCTGACCACCTCTGACAGGCTGCACACCTCTCACTACTGCCACACTAGGGGCTAATTTTCCAGTACATAAATTTGAACAGCATAGCCAGACTATAGCAGCTTCATAACAGGCTTCAGTTTCCCATAGCTGCTGGAGCATCATGTGCCCCTGAATAAAGCCCTACAATGACTTTGCATTGCAACTGTGGTGAGTCCATAGTATGGTCTTTTCAGAGTCCTGTGACTGTACCTCTTGCCAGCCTCACTAGTGTTGTCCCAGGATAATTCAGTAAAGAATCCAGAAAGGCCTTCCTTGGCCCTACCCTGACTAGAGTAGCCTCAATTCCATCTTTCTATATACCACCCGCCTACATTATTATTATTTTATTTATTTTAGAGGTGGAGTTATGCACAGAGAGAGGGAGAGACAGAGAGAAAGTCTTCCAATTGCTGGTTCACTCCCCAAATAGCTGCAACGGCTGGGGCAGAGCCGATCTGAACCAGGAACAAGAAGTGTCTTCCAGGTTTCCCATGCAGGTGCAGGGGCCCAAGGACTTGGGCCATATTTTTTTTTAAGATTTTATTTATTTATTTGAGAGGTAGTTACAGACAGAGAGAGGGAGAGACAGAGAGAAAGATCTTCCTTCCATTGGTTCACTCCCCAAATAGCTGCAACGGCTGGGGCAGAGCCGATCTGAACCAGGAACAAGAAGTGTCTTCCAGGTTTCCCATGCAGGTGCAGGGGCCCAAGGACTTGGGCCATATTTTTTTTTAAGATTTTATTTATTTATTTGAGAGGTAGTTACAGACAGAGAGAGGGAGAGACAGAGAGAAAGATCTTCCTTCCATTGGTTCACTCTCCAAATGGCTGCAACGGCTGCAGCTGCGCCAATCCGAAGCCAAGAGATTCTTCCTGGTCTCCCACACAGGTGCAGGAACCCAAGTACTTGGGCTATCTTCCACTGCTTTCCCAGGCCACAGCAGAGAGCTGAATTGGAAGAGGAGCCGCCAGGATTAGAACCAGCAGCCATATGGGATGCCAGCACCACAGGCAGAGGATTAACCTACTACTCCACAGCACCGGCCTGTGGGCTATCTTCCGCTGCTTTCCTAGGCCATAGCAGAGAGTTAGATGGGAAGAGGAGCAGCCAGGACTAGAACTCATGCCCATATGGGATACCAGTGCCCCAGGCGGAGGCTTAGCCCACTATGCAAGACTGCCAGCCCCCATTATTTTCTTCACTGCACTTAACTAATGTCCAATAATTTTTTTCTTTAGTGTCTTTTTTTCTCCATCAAGTGAGTAAATTCAGAAATTCACAAGGGTAAAAACTTGATTGATCTTGATTTTAGACAACTCTATCTCTAGAGTATGTATAGAAACATTACTTATGGCAGCAACATGGTAAACTAGCAAAATGCCAACAGCAGTAATTAAGAGTTATCTAATGGTTGCTGTGTGACAGGCCCTCTGCTGAGTGCTTTACACACGTGAATTATTGAAGCTGTCCAGTTTTGATGTGAGAAGAGCAAGAGGTGCATGTCTTCCCCATATAGCCCTATACATTACATTATTTCCCAGAAGCATTGGCGGTTCTCTTATTAGAATGTTGATTTGTATCGTAAGATCTTGGAATATTGCTATAGCAAATAAGTAGTGAACCTCTTCCTCCACGTCCCTAAAAATGAACCGGGGAGCATTTTGCTAGAAAGGATAGGAGGGACACAAAGCAGTATTAATAAAAGCAGAGTACCAAAAGAGCATGACAGGCTCACGGCCCAGGAAATCAGACCACTGGAGCGCAGTATCTGTGTGACTGGCAGGGCAGGAGGTCATGCTGGGGGTTGCTTAGGCCAGATTGCAAAGGACTCTGAACACTCGTCTTGGTTCCAACCTTGTTCTTTGGCAAAATGACTGGTTTTAGAGGCAACTCAGTGATTTTTAAGAAACTAAAGTTAAGGGACCAGCGCTGTCGTGTAATGGGTAAAGCCACTGCCTGCAGTGCCGGCATCCCATATGGGCACTGGTTCAAGATGCGCCTGCTCCACTTCTGATCCAGCTCTCTGCTATGTCCTGGGAAAGCAGGAAAGATGGCCCAAGGGCTTGGGTCCCTGCACCTGCATGGGAGACCTGGAAGAAGCTTCTGGCTTCAGATTGGCACAGCTCCGTATATTGT